GAACATATCCAAAACACAGGCCATGTCACTAAATATTCCACAAACACAACTCAACAATCAAAATACCAATATGAGGGGGGTGGGGCCAGACCGCCGAGATGGACGGTCGCAAGAATGAGCAGCTTCTGCCAACTAACGCTCTCTAAACCCTCAAAAGCATGATTTTTAGTGACTTTTCAGACAGACAGCATGGGGAGGCACTGGATCCAGGGCAAGGCTGGCTCTTTGAGCTCCAGTCCCCTGGAGGGGAATCCTTCTCTGCATCTGAGGAGGCCTTCTCTGGCGGTGAGCGGGGCGGATGGCCGCTGCCCTGCTATCCTGACCAGCAGCACCCGGCCAGAGGCCCGAATCGGTGAAAACCTGGCACTGTCCCCACCCCCCCCCTCTGGACCGGCAGGGGTGATCCCGGTCCCAACTCTGAGGCAAGTCATCCAAGGCACAGCAGTGCTGCCACTAAGATCTGTGGCCTATATCCCTCAGCTAAGATGCCAGACGCCAAGTGTGCTAACGGCACTAACAGGGCCGGCAACAACACAACACTGGCAACACAAAGTGCCCACAGACACAAGCTAGCCTACTAGCCTAGCCTAAATTCTTTTTAATAACTTTTTTTGGTTTGAGAACAATTTTTATTTACAGACCAAGGGTACCGCTATGGGGACCAGATTTGCCCCGAGCTACGCAAATTTATTTATGGCTCATTGGGAGGAATCCGAGATTCTCTCAAGGCCAGAGCTCGGGACAAGTCTGGTCCTCTACAAGAGGTACATAGATGATATCTTTTTAATATGGAGAGGTACGCAAGAATCTCTAATTAGTTTTTTAAATAATTTGAATAAGAATAATTGGAACATCAATCTGACTTGGGAAATCAGCACACAGACTATTAATTTTTTAGATTTGACTATTTATATAGAAGAAAACATGATAAAAAGCAAGACCTTTTTTAAAACTGTAGATGTAAATAGTTTTATCAATTTAAAAAGCTGTCATTTTAGACCTTGGTTGACCAACATACCCAAGGGACAATTTTTAAGAATAAAACGTAATTGTACAGAGCCTGAACAATATGAAGAACAAAAAAAAGGGCTGATTAATCAACTAATAGAAAAAGGATATAATCAAGATTCCCTAATTAATATAAAAAATGAAGTAGGACAAAAACTAAGAACTAATATTTTAAAATATAAAACAAAGGAAGAAAAAGAAAATGATAAGACTGTACCAATTATTTTTAATTACAGTTCTCACAGTAACCAGTTGCAAAAAATTATGAAGAAAAACTGGCACATCTTAGAACAAGATCAGGAAATACATAAATATTTGGGAGCACAACCTAAAGTGATTTTTAGAGGAGCTAAAAATATTAAGCAAGTTTTGACTTCAAGTTTTTTAGACAAAGAAAGAAGCTCCCAAACTACATCTATGTTTAACCCCTTAAGGACGGAGCCAAATGTACACATTGTGAACAAAACAAAATGTAAACAAAACCTGGCATTTGCGCTACATGTCTGTCCAACCGTAATACACCTCTTTCATATTAAATACACCCACCCTTATTATATATCATTTTATTCAGGGTAAACAGGGCTTTCATTTAATATCAAATATTTAGCTATGAAACATAATTTAATATGAAAAAAATGGGAGAAAATACGAATTTTTTGATTTTTTTAGTTCTAAATTGCATTTTAAAGGTCAGTGTCATAATACTGTTTGATTTTACTGCAATAAAATACACATATTTGTATTTAGTAAAGTCTCACGTGTAAGACAGTACCCCCTATGTACAGGTTACATTTGAAATTGAAATTCGCCAGATTGGTTACGTTGCCTTTGAGACTGTATAGTAGCCCGGGAATGAAATTTACACCCATAATGGCATACCATTTGCAATAGTAGACAACCCAAGGTATTGCAAATGGGGTATGTCCAGTCTTTTTTAGTAGCCATTTGGTCACAAACACTGGCCAAAGTTAGCGTTAGTATTTGTTTGTGTGTGAAAAATGCAAAAACGCCAATTTTGGCCAGTGTTTGTGACTAAGTGGCTACTAAAAAAGACTGGACATACCCCGTTTGAAATACCTTGGGTTGTCTACTATTGCAAATGGTATGCCATCATAGGGGTAATTTTCATTCTTGGGCTACCATAGGGTCTCAAAGGCAACGTAACCAATCTGGCGAATTTTAATGTGAAAATAAATGAAACACAAGCCTTATATTTGACGCTGTAACTTTTGAAAACACCATAAAACCTGTATATGAGGGGTACTGTTGTACTCGGGAGACTTCGCTGAACACAAATATTTGTGTTTCAAAACAGTAAAAAGTATCGCAGCAATAATATCGTCCGTGTAAGTGCTGTTTGTGCGTGAAAAATGCAAAAACTTCACTTTTACTGGCGATATCATCGTTGTAATACATTTTACTGTTTTGAAACACTAATATTTGTGTTCAGCGAAGTCTCCCGAGTAGAACAGTACCCCCCATGTACAGGTTTTATGGTGTCTCGGAAAGTTATAGGGTTAAATATAGTGCTAGTAAATTAAATTCCCTTTACTTTCGGCATGGGTTGTCAGGCAGGTCCTGCTAATTGTAATTAATTAAGATACCTAATTATGTAAAAATATTACATAAATATATATGTAGAATTAATATATGCATATATATATACGTATGTGTATATATATGTATATATCTATATAATTTTTTTTAAATATTTTTATTTATATATAGGTATATATATATAGTGATATATACGTATATATTTATGTATATAGATATATTATTTTGTTCTACGTGTATTTTGATATATATATATATATATATTAATTTCACAAAACAGTTAGAACGAAATAACACACATCTATATATTTTTTAATTATTTATTTTTAATTATTCTTTTAATTTTATTTTTTAACGTATTTACATTTTTATTTTTTTTATATTATATATAAATATATATATAACAATAATTATATATATATTTAATCAGTATCAGTCTACGTGTAATTTGATATTTATATATATAATTATATATATATTAATAGTAAAATACACCTAGACGGTGTATGTGTGTGTATGTATATGTGTATATATATACTTAGATCATATATATATAATATATACATATGATCTAAGTATGTATAATTATTTTTTTTTACACCATTAACTTATTTTTATTTTATTTTCAGCCAGCAGGGGGACCCCCTGTCATTACAGGCAGCCCCCCTGCCGGCAATACAGAAGCCAGCTATCCCCGGCCATGTGATTATGGGGTCCTCGCTAGGACCCCACTCTCACACGGCCGGGGGGCTTCAACGAGGACGGATGTGCCGCGGGGGGCTCCCTGGGAGTCCCCCCCACCGCGATCGCCGGCGTGGGACCGCCGGCGACCGGGTAAGTTAACAAAAACCGGAGGGCGTACAATTACGCCCGGCGGCGTTTAGAGCCGCCTATTAGAGGGCGTAATTGTACGTCCTGCGGTTTTAAGGGGTTAAGAAAGAAAAAGGTTTTTATTATTGTGGAATGTGTAGAGGCTGTATTTTAAGGAAAAATAAACATAAAAAGGTTACTAACTTTATTTCTTTTCAGAATAAAAAAACACATGAAATAAAATCTTTTGTAACATGTAACTCAAAGAACGTTATTTACATGATAGTCTGTCCCTGTGGATTACAGTATATAGGGAAGACATCTAGGACATTGAAGATAAGGATTAGGGAGCATATCTATAATATAAATAGGAAATTTACTCTACACAATGTCTCTAAACATTTTTTAGAAGTACATGGAGGAAATATTAGTGGTTTTGAATTTATAGGCATAGAGACTGTGAAAACTCATTGGAGAGGAGGTGATATAGAAAGCCTCCTTAGTAAAAATGAGATGAAGTGGATTTTCAATATGGAATCATTGTCCCCTTATGGTCTTAATATTGATTTTGAGATTAATTCATGTATATAGTTTTATTTTGCTACTTTTTTATTCTTGATTTTTTTATGTAGTATTTTATATTAATTATATATAAGGAATGTTTCTATCTTATTATAGAAGTTTCTTCTAATGACCTATCCTTCCTTCCCCTTTAATAGGTGTACAGTACCTCCCCTTTTTTATGATGATTTTATGAATCTTATTGATTATATTTGTGTATTTGGGCTCTCCTCTTTTATAGACGAATATATTAAATGTATGTGAATGTTAAAAGTTGCGATTGCTAAGAGACTGGCAACCTCTATGATTAGAGACTCTCTAAAATGGCGCCGAGAGTACTTCCGGTTTCGGCGCCGGGAAGACGTCATGACGTAGCCGTTTTGGGCAAAGAATGATGACGTAACGTCATCACGTAACGTAACCGGAAGTCGCCGTATAATGACGAAAACGGAAGTCATACGGGACGCCAGAGAAAGGGCGCTGGAATTTGAAAATATAAAAAGAAGAGATCGGAGATGAGAAACAGACCACTTGAGAAAGGCTGTGAGTGCCGAAACGCGTCGTGGTACATATAAAGGACATTTTACCTGTATTCATTACTATTTTATTTTATGTAGTATTTTAACAATAAATCAGTTTGGATTTTGATTCTGCATTCTGGAGTGATTTTGGAGAACATTTCCAGCGCGGATCTATCAAGTTTGATACAGGACGTCCAAATTGAGATTTCTCATCTCGTTACAAGCCCTAAGTCTGAGTCAGCTTTTAAAGTGACTCAGTAATATGTGAGTTTAACCAGTCACAGAATATTACTTGCATATATTTTAACAGTATTATACTATGTTTCTGTGCTTTATGTTTTGTAGATATTCCAACTAAACCAAGTTTTGGTAATATATCCTACATGCATGTTTTGAGTGCTCTCACCAACATTTTACATTTTACAAGCTAGCCTACTACCCACAACACCTGGAGGTTAAATCACGTCAAGGGGCCCTGGCACAACATCAGCCTTCTGAGGCACATTACTGTATCTCGGCATCAACCCCAGGGCAGGCCCGAAAATGGTGAGAGAGACAGGGGCACAGCAAACCAGTACCCTCAGCAAAACGAACACTAAAGGCAAAAAGCCTTGGATATGCAGGAGTGCCGGTCTCCCACATGAAGCGCTGCACACCACTCCGGGAGAGCCGCACATCCCCGTCACTACGTCGGACGGTCCGCGGTGGGGCCTCGCAAAGCCCCCTGTGGGCGACAGCACAGCAGAGACCCAAGAAGCCACACCGCTCCACTACCTCGCAACCATCTCACCAGCGACAGGTCCAGAAGTGATGGACTACTCTTTTAAGCCATGACGTGGTGCAGGACGAAGAGTCCCTGAGCATACACGGGACATTTGTTGCTGGACAGTACACATATGGAAGCGGAGCGCCCAGTCAAGGACTCAGCTGACTCCCCAACTATAGTAGCTGGCTGTCATCCAAGCCACATCCGCCAGGGACTCTCGCCTGAGATGCAACAGATCCAGGGGCACACAAGTGACTACCGTTATGTTATATGGTTTAATTTTTCCTTTATAATATTATGTGTTGACAACCTGCCTTACTTCGTTCACTCTAACACCCATATTATGTTACGCAAGACAGGTAAGGGTACAACCTCATACCACTTCCTTACATAACCCACACCCTAGACTCTCCCACCACTGCTCCGCATGGTGGCACTAACACCACTCTGGCCAACTTGATAATACTGGCGGGCAAGGCGCCAAAGCAAAATAGCGCTGCTACAAGTCTACCACCCCAAGGTGGCTTTTCTTTTCCACTAACAAATCAAAAAATGGCACATCACATCTCACTGCGCACCCTGCGACTGTAGTGTAGCCATTCACATATTGGCGCAAGCATGTCATATAGCAAACTGTGAGGGAGAGAGAACCGTTATAATGGGCAGTAGCGTACTGAACAATGACCTTGCCTGCAATGCAATAAGTTTAAAAAAAAAAAAAAAATATATATATATATATATATCAGACACATCTGTCTGGATTATAAATGCTGTGTTCGCCTGTTTTGCCGGTTACATGAATTTCCCCAGTCGTATGCTTTATTCAAGGGAATGTCGGTTTTTGTCGAACGGAAGTACCGAACGGATGGCCACCCAGAAGAGAAGTGTGCTGCTGGTTAACCTATTGATCCCAATTAGAACGTTGCGGTTAACCACAGACACTTCTCAATTAAAACCGAATGCCGGGTGGTCGTCGTTCGTATGTCGACCACGAGGCGGCGGCCATTTTGTCCATGCGAACGACCAGCGGTGTTCGACGATTATTTCATGGATCGGAAAACGGACACTTTTTCAGCCGAACACCGCTGAAGCCGTCGACCTCCCCTTCTCAATCGACAAAAGCATACGAATGCCAGCCGTTCGGGAGATTCAACCACACGAATGGACTTAACCCAGATAGCCGTCCCATGGAGTCAATCGCATACCGACGAACTGAAAGAGACTTTGACTCCATGGCGATTGAACTGTGCGAATGGGATCTGAGCGCTATTCTTCAATAATGTGCCCTCAGATCCAGGCTATCTGGGGATAGGCAATACGAATGTAATATGTTCGGCAGTTATGAAGTTATGGATTTTCATGTGTTTTTGTGACTTGTGTTTAAAATGGCGATTGCCTCTGCTCGGGGAGATAATTGAGTTACTTCCCAATTATCCCTCGAGCAGAGGGGAGGAAACTGTGATGCATGCTGGGAATATTGTGGGGATGTATGTCCAAAATGTCCCCATGTCCCTCTGTGATTTCAGTCTCCCATTTGGTCCCCTAGGGGAGTGTCCACCAAGTGGGAGACCTGCATAAATACCGGGCAGGTAGCCCACAGTAAATCAGTTCGTGTTTTACCCTCAAAGCGGAGCTTGGTCTCGTTATTGGGGGGATTTGGATACCAGCGGCGAGAGACTGCTTATTTGGATTATTTGCCGCTTGGGAGATATTGTCGTTCGGTTACTAATTGCCGTTCGTGGATTTGCAGCTCGTGAAGGGAATTAGCCGTACAGGTACCGTTCGGGAGTTTGGAGTGTTCCCTGACTGGCGGTTCGCATGGTTTTATTATACCCGCTACCCGACCACATTATTGCGAACAGGGAATACTCGCTAAACGGCGGTTTGTACATTTCCGTACTGGAGGTACCGTAACAATATATATATTAAATAATAGGATATTCTAGCATGTAGTCTAAACGTGGAACCTTATCCTACATTACCACAGACCGTAAGAAAAGCCTGTATCCTCTGACTACGTTTTGCCTCTCCACTGTCTTTTCATCCAATCGTTATAAACAAAAAACATTGTGCTGTATATCTGTACACCATCTCATGTCCATAATCTTTGTACTTACTCTGATTGTGACTGCTATTGTGGCTAAGCAAGTCTAATGTTATACCATGCACAACAAAAAATAAAGAACTAAAATAAAACACAAAAATACCAATATGAATGGAGAAAAGATCAGATCACGTTTCTAGGCATTGCCTTTACAAAACATATAGATAAATTATTTCAGGCTAACTATGGTAAAACCCAACTGGAACACCAATATCTGATGCCTGATTGGAAGAAACTTTATGTTTCATGGTCAGGACGCATAGCTGCTACCAAAATGGTCATAGTACCTAAAATAAAATATCTAGTTAGGTCATTACCCATCCATGTACCGAACTCTTACTTCACAAAACTACACAAAAAAAATAAATAATAATATCTCCAAATTTGTATGCATTGGGAAAAGAGCAAGAGTTGCACTACACCATCCAATATCGGAAGGAGGCATGAGCTTGCCTTAATCTTAAAGCATACCATCATGCCACAATAATGAGCAACATTATACATAAACAAACAGCGCAACATGACCTACAGTGGAATACCATTGAAAAACAATGGACTAAAAAAAGGTCTAGACCTCAATCTATTAGCCTGGCTACCGCGACTTTTACGACCTCCAAACCAAGACGCTATCACCACATCCCTCACTTTAAAAAAAATGCGATTAGTACTAACAAAATGCAACCTCCAACACACCTCTATCCAGAGCAACACCCATTAAGGCCCTCTCACTCCTCATAGAAGACTTTAATTACAAGATGTGGGAGAGACATGGGATCACATACTTACACCAGATATATAAAAACATCAATATTCAGTCATCTGATGATCCGAAACAATAATATAAGTTACCCTCGATAGCACCATACTCCTTTGCCCAAATGCACTCCTGGATAACTAAACACACTACAGTAGACAGTACTGAGGTAACAGAATGTCAACTTACAGAGACAGAACCAATGTGTCTAGCTAAGAAACCAAAAAAAACTGATGTCTGTCATGTTTAAAGCCATGCACAAAAAAAGCCAAAATCCAAGACTACTTATTCATTAAAGCTTGGGAAAAATAAATAAAGCATCCACAGAGGAAACATGGGGAAGGATATTTACAGAACACCAGAAGTTATCCCTATGTGCATGATATCTGGTCCCTATACGCCTAGCCCACATCAGCCCAAAAAAAAAAAAAAAAATGTTAGAGGTGTACTACAGAAGTTGTTACAATGACTCGCATATGGTGGCAATGCACCAAACTTAAAGCCTTCTGGCTGCATATAGCAGAGTCGATAAACTTATGTACAGGGGTACAATTGCCACACACTCCAGACAGTTCTTTTCAACTACCCACCTCATCTATCTAAACCAGACTTTTACTTAATCTACCATATCATAATAGAAGCCTTAGCGAGTTTAACACGCAACTGGGCAACACCGAAAATACCAACTGCATTGGAACTAAAACAACGAACAACACAATCCAGCAAATATGAACAGACGATATGAGAACAAAAAGTAAAAGTAGACACTGAAAACACAACCAATAAAACAAAACAAAAATACTGTGAAAAAGCATGGGATAAATGGGATGACTGTAACAAAGAACAGAGATCATTGATAGAATGTGATATTGGAGGAGGTTGCATTTTTTGAGAAATTAGACTACGATACCTAGCGGAGAACTCTCTACCCTCCCACACCCAATGTTTTATCTTTGCAGCACTAATAAATCCCACAGTTTCCTAATCACCACACTCTCTTTGATGTGTAGCAGATTACACAGGATTGGAACAAAGTGGGAGACATACAAGATAAACTATCATGGAACCAAACATAACTGACGGAATGTTGCATGGTCCATTTTCAAATTAGCCCAAATGGTAGATCTCATCCTACAGCTATAACAGATTTAGGCAAAACCCCCAAACAACAAGGACATAATATATGACCGAACACGTGTCCCTAGATGACACTGAACCTCTCCAAGACATTCACAAATTTTACTACAACATTACCTCTAACATGGAATATGTCTCTATAAAGGGCACAGACAGACAGAACCCAGTACATTATGGTATCTATATAGCGGACATTATAGTAAAGCGAGTGTATACGGTTACTAATGTAATGCCACTGAACTGTTCTTCTGTGGTGATGAAATTTGTTGAGATGACTGTGCTGTACCCCATTTTATATACCGTATATACTCAAGTATAAGTCGAGTTTTTCAGCACTTTTTTGTGCCCAAAAAATCCCCCACTCGAGTTAATGTCTGTATTATGGCAATTTACATTGCCATTATATTTACATTGCCATAATACAGACCAGGACCACCGGGCTCATTACAAGCCCGGCGGTCCTGTTTGGGGCTAGCAGCAAGCTTTAACTTACCTTTCCTGCAGCTCCTGTCAGCTCCCTTCTCTCTCCATCGTTCCAGTCAGCTCCACTATAAATCTTTCGAGAGCCGCGGGGAACGCGCCGCGCAGCCGCGGGGAACACTCCGCGCGGCCACAAGACTTATAGTGGAGGAGAAGGGAGCTGACCGGAACGGAGGAGAGAGAAGGGAGCTGACGGAAAGGTAAGTTACAGCTCTCTGCCAGCCCCCTCCTCCACAGCCCATCCACTGGACCAACAGGGAATGAGTGCCCCCCTCCATGGCCAGTTAACAAGCAGGGAGGGGGGACAAAAATAAATAAAATAATAATATATATATATAAAAAAAATAACAATTAAAAAAATAATAAAAATGCCCATCCCCCCACCAAGGCTCTGCATCACATACACACTGCATTATGTATATACACACACACACTGTAAATATTCAATTGATATAATTTTTGGGGGATCTAATTTTATTTAGAAATTTACCAGTAGCTGCTGCATTTCCCACCCTAGTCTTATACTCGAGTCAATAAGTTTTCCAAGTTTTTGAGGGGTAAAATTAGGGGTCTCGACTTATACTCGAAAATATATATATATATATACACACACACACACACACACACATACACACACACCCCGAAAGGTGATATTTCAAAACAAAAAAAAAACAATAAGAACTACTATTCATATAAAAAAAAAAAAAAATGAATGCATGTGTATTATACAAATAATTTTGTACAAATAATTTTAATGGGTCATGGGTATACAACATTTTAATTTATTAGTGTAGTAATGGCAATTAATAAAGTGAATAAAAATCAAGGTTTAGATGTGCTTATTGTATGTTGCATAACATTGTATTCAGTAAGACATTGCCCCTAATGAAGGGCATTAGTAAAAATATAGAATTACAGATACACACATAGAATTCACATGGTCACACACATTTTTAGTTTACACATAGCACACATTTATCTTCAGACAGTATTGAGGGTAACTGGGACAAGGATAGGCAACCTTTGGCACTCCAGATGTTGAGGACTACACCTCTCCTGATGTTTTGTCAGCGTTATAGCTGTAAGAGAGCAAAGTTGCCTATTCCTGGCCTAAGATAACACAATAGAAATGAGAGAGTGGGATGTAGAGGCATGCTTGGCAATAAGAAAGAAAAAAATTCAGGAATTTGACTATATGTCTGTTCAACCTTAATTCAACTCTTTCATATTAAGTACACCCACACTTAATATATATCATTTCATTCAGGGGAAACAGGGCTTTCATTTAACATCATAATTCTCTGCACTTTCTCTGCAATATGTATATAGGGATGTATATGAAAAAATACCCCTCTCGGTCTCAGAGATATCTTTGCCAGAGGCTCAAGTAAGCAAGGTGAAGGGTCAGTGTAGGACCCGTCTAGGTGGGGTCTGCCTTGATGTTGGCAGGCGGGCATTCCCTCCAGTGGCCATTGGAGTAACTAAATTACCTCCATTTATTTCAGTATTGATAGGTATTAAAGAGAGAGCTCAGGTAACTTTTTTTCTTTGGTTTTTACTATATGTATTGGAGCTGATGTGTACTGTGGTCGTTGCTGCTGCCCAGGAGTGATGGGAGTGAGCGCAGGACATATCTTTTTGTATATATATGTATATTTAATTTATTTTAAACATTTCCTGGTCATATGCCATTGAAGCACAGCGATGTAGCTCCTCCCTATCCTTAGACAGGAACTAATTAAAATAAATGTATAAGTACCTCCTCATATCCCCTCCTCCTTCAGTCTTGTTACTAGCAATATCCCAGGGCAGGACCTTTGTGCTGCCATGGCATATGACCTGGAAAAGAAAGTTACAGTTAGTATGGATACATTTTCCCTTATCCATGGCAGCACAATGATGGGTAATACCCAAGAATTAACCAAAGGAGGGAAGAATAAATAAAGAAACCACAGACTCCAAAATATCATATGCAAAGTATATTGGTACCACAAACACCGAAACTTCAGGAATCAAGGGTTTCATACAAAAAGGCCACTTTTAGCAAATTGGTCCAAATAACCGGCTCTGACATCTACTTGGTAATGTCTGATGAAGGTATTGGCAGAGGACCAAGTGGCAGCTCTAGAAATCAGTTCAGGAGAGACCTTGGCAGAGGAGGCCCAAGAGCAGGAAAGGGATCTCGTGGAATGAGCTTTGAGTCCATGCGGGACTGGAGCTTTCAAGGCCTGATAAGCATGGATGATGGTTGAAACAATCCATCTGTTAATGGAGCCCTTTTTACATCCATTATGTAAAGGACAAAGGAGGCCTGAAGATGGACGCCAAGGGGCGGTTCTGTCAATGTAGATTCTGAGGCATCTCATCAAATCCAAGGAGGAAAGATCTGTCATCACATCTACTTGTGGAACCGGATGCAAAGCTGGGAGAACAATTTCCTCATTAATATGAAAAGGCAGAGCTGACCTTAGGCTGAAATTCTGGGATAGTACTGGGATAGTACGTCCTTATGGAAGACTGTGAAAGGTTCCTTGACTGACAGAGCATGAAGTTCCAAGACCCTTCTGCCTGAGGCCAAAGCCACCGGTAAGGCAGTTTTAATGGAGAGGAAATGGAAAGGCACTGAATCCAAAGGGTCAAAGAGGAGAGATTTTAGAGCTTGGAGAACCAGAGGCAAGTCCCAAAGGGGAGCGAACTGCTTAATTGGAGGTCTGATTTTCAATACAGCTTTAACAAACCTGACCATGTCCGAATCAAAGGCCCATTTGCGGTTAGTTAAAGCCGACAAGGCAGATACGTGAACCTTCAAGGTGTTGTAGCTCAGACCGGACTGAAGAAAGTCTAAGATATTCCCTGTGGAAGGACACTGGATCAAGACATCCCTCGAGGAAGCCCAGGAAGAGAAAACGTCCCACATTCTATAGTATGCGTTAGAAGTTGAATGCTTCCTAGCCCTGAGCAGTGTGTCTACTACCGCATTCAACAGCCTTTCCCTTTCCCTTTCAACCTCCATGCCATCAGGTTGAGGGAGGATGGGTCTGGATGTAGAACAGGACCTTGACACAGAAGGTCTGGGGCTCTCGGAAGACTCCAAGGTGGCTCTACACAAAGGCTCTGCAGGAGAGGAAACCAGGGTCGGCGCGGCTAAAAACGGGTCTATGAGTATGAGGAAGACGTGAACCATCATCATTCTCCTTAGAATAGGAAAATCAGGGGAAAAGGGGGAAATGCATACCTCTCTTGAAATCGCCAGTTGCTGGAAAGGGCGTCCCTCCCCATGGCTAGAGGATTGTTGTCTTTCGTGAAGAAACACTGCACCTTCCTGTTCTTTCGTGTCGCAAACAAGTCCCCTTGAAGAAGGCCCCATCTGTCCACTAGCATTTGGAACACATCGTCCGACAAAGACCACTCTCCCGGATTGATTCTGGATCTGCTGAGGAAATCCGCAATCTGATTCTGTTTCCCTGGAAGATGAATTGCTGTGAGGCCTGCCAGGTGTCGTGGGGACCCATGACATCAACTGATGCATAAACACCATCATCCTGTGGCTCCTGGTGCCACCCTGATGGTTGATGTAGGCTACCACCGCAGCATTGTCTGACCGAATCTTCAACCAACGGTGATGAATTAGCGGAGAGAAATGTTTCAGGGCTTTGAGAACAGCAAAGAGTTCCAGGAGATTGGAAGGCAAGTTGTCCGCAGGGAACTTCCACTCCTCCTGCGCAAAGTTGCGTTGACAATGGGCTCCCCAACCAAATGGCTGGCATCTGTCGTTATTAGTATCGACGGAACGTCTCCCAGAGGGAAGCCCTTGACTAAGTAGACACCGTTTAGCCACCTAACCAGGGAATTGTGAACTGACAACAAGGAGAATTGGAGGAGGAAGTTCGCCTGAAAGCTCCTCATTCTCCATTGTGCCCACCTTGTCAGTCCTATCATGGAGGACATGGAACCCTGGAGACTCATCGCCTTCTTTGCTGAAGTCACCTTGCATGCCAACATCTCCACAACCGGTTTCTGTATTCTCAGGATCCTCTGGGGAGAGTTGAACCATCCCCGTGGAAGTGTTGAACAGAGCACTCAGGTATGTCATGGACTGACTCTTGTAGAGATGGCTCTTTTTGACATTGATCCTCCAGCCGTGATATTGTAGGAACTGAAGGCAAACAGTTGCATGGGAGGACAAAGTATCCTTGTCGTCTGCCACAATCAAGATGTCGTCCAGGTAATGGAAGATGGATATGCCCTGTTTTCTCAGTTCTGCGATGAGAACAACAAGCACTTTCGTGAAGGTCCTTGGAGCCGTGCGGAGACCAAAGAGCAAGGCCCTGAATTGGAAATGAGCCTCCCGTACTGCGAACCTCAGGTATTTCTGATGCGCCAGGGCTATAGGAATGTGGAAATAGGCATTCAACAAGTCTATTGATAACATCCACTGATTGGGAAAGATAGCCTTCACTATAGATTGAAGGGACTCCATCTTTAATCTGTGGATATGCAAGTATAAATTCAGTCTGTGTAAATTTAGGATGGGTCTCCACCCTCCCGAGGACTTTTCAGTCAGAGATATATGTGAATAGAAGCCGTGAGTCCTTTCTAACTACGTGACTGGTACAATGACTCCTTTTTGTAGAGAAGTGAAGACCTGGAAAGCAAGCCTTTTTACTGTCTCCAGGCCACTTTGTGATTTGGAAGGAAATGGAAGGAGGGGGTTTGCAAAATTCTAGAAGATATCCCCTTCTGATATCCAGAACCCAGTTATCGCTTACGGATTCCTCCCACGCCATACAGAATTGGAGCAAGTGAGCTCCAACACCACCTGACAGGGAGACAAGCCCATCACAGATTCCTGGGGTTCTTGGAGGGTGCGGAACCTCGGGACTTGCCGCCTCTAGCACCATGTTGACCGCTCCTCCAGGATTGATTTCTCCCATATTCCTTACCCGGTCTGTAGAATCTGCTAAAACGAAACGGGTAGTAGTCTTTTTTTGCACGAAAGGAACCTTTGGGCATGTTTTTTTGAGGCAGAAAGACCTTTTTACCTTCGGCTGCTCATTTAATACAATCATCCAGATTCTTGGCGAATAACATGTCGCCATGAAAAGGAAGGGAGAACAAGCTGCCTTTGGAGGAGGCATCAGCAGACCATGATCTGAGCCATAGCGCTCTCCTGGTCAAAACTGAAAGAGCCATATTTCTGGCTAAGGACTTCACCAGATCCACCGCAGCCTCAGATGAGAAGTCAACAGTCAATTTCAGATCCTTCAGGCTGTCCAATTGACTGCCATTCTTAATATCCTCCTCCAAATTCTCCATCCAAACCTTAAGTGTCCTGGATGAAGACATAAGGGCCACTGCTGGGTGCAGGCTAGTACCTCAAGCTGCTTTGGAAAGACTGAAGTCCATCTTTCTGTCCATAGGGTCTTTGAAGGAACCTGCATCATTAACAGGCAAAGTGGTACGTTTGGCCAATCTAACCACGGCCGCATCAACCTTGGGAGCGGAATCACATACTTCAGCGTCAGCGTCCTCAAATGGATACAGTTTGGAAAAGCTTCCTTTTGTGGAGGATTTTCTGTCCGATCTGGACCATTCCTCCTTGATGAGGTCTTTTATAGTCTCATGGACTGGAAAAGTCGCCTCTTCCTCCTGAAGTCAGAGAAGTGGCGACTGGATGTGAAAGGCTCACCCTTAGAAGATTATTTCAAGCTGAGAGTCTTGTGGACCCTGGATATCAAATTGTCAATTTCAGCAGGTTCCAGGAAATCTGGAGCTGGAAGCACCCCATCCTCATAAGAACCCAGATCTCTCAGGGATTCCATAGTCATACACTCTACATGAGAGACGTCTGGAAAACACTCCGAAGGTTCCAAACTAGAGTTGAACGGACATCGGGATGCAAACTGAAGTAAAATGGAGGTAAGAGTAGGACACGTGCCCTGCAAACAAATGTGGATAGGGAAATCACTTAAAACAACATTAAATACATAAAAATTAAAAATACAGCGGAGCCATAAAATAGCACTAGATGGAATCTTTGCTTTTAGCTTTGGAAGAACATAAATCAAAATCTAAAGCATGGGCGTCAGGAGGATCACCAGAATTATCCATTTGAGATAGGGTTGGAGTGCAGGGTATTCTCTTTCATAGTTCAAACTGAGCTCAACTCCTGATGCATGGAGAAAAGGCCTTCACAAGCCTCTGCTATTGTGACCCATAGGTTGAGGAGGTGGTGACCGTGGCGGTGTAAGTGGAAGCGGCACTGGAGGACGAGGAGGTTAACCAACACTGTTTATTTTTAATTGGGGTAGCCCCCAAAATATTGGGACATATAAAAAAAAAAAACTGTTCCGCAGAGTGACTGACTCGTGCGTGCTGCAGCTGAAACTCCACTATCGCCTGCTGCTGCTCACTCAGTCTCATGAGGCAGTGAGCGGGAAGGACGAAGTTAAGCTGCAGCACAGACAGGCGAGCAGCAGCAGGGTGAGAATGCCGAAAGCACGCAGAGACGGCCCGCACTTTCTGCAGCAGCTCTGATATATATGGGTATACACTGTGGCAGTGTAGGTGGAAGTGGTGGTGGAGGAGGAGGTAGCCAACACTTTTTTATTGGGGTAGCCCCCAAAATATTGGGACATATTAAAAAACCAAAAAAAACAAACAAAGAATAAGTGCACTTGAGTATAACAAGTCTGGTGGGATCCATGCCTGCTTCATTTTAATAAACGTAAGCTTGTCCACCTCCAAAGCATAAAGGGCAAGCTCAGGCCATGCGCCCAATTTAGAGACCCAGAAGTTGAATGGGGCAGACCCATCAGTCATTACGTGTAGGCGTGTGCACACGTACTGTTCCACCATGTTGCTGAAATGCTGCCTCTTGCTAAGACGTTCCATATCAGCTGGTGGTGCTGGTTGTTGTGGCATGCTGACAAAGCTTTTCCACATTTTGGCCATGCAAACCTTGCCTTCTGACGTGCTGTAGGTGCCTCAGCTGCGTTGACTACCTCTTCCTCCGCCTTCGCCTTGTGCTTCCACTGAGCCCCCGGTGTCAGTTGGGAATGCCCTCAGCAGCGCGTCGACTAGTGTGCGCTTGTAGTCTCGCATCTTACGATCACGCTCCAGTGAGGGAATTAAGGATGGCACGTTGTCCTTGTAACAGGGATCCAGTAGGGTGGTCACCCAGTAATCAGCACAAGTTAGAACTCGACAGTCATTGCGCAGGCACTGCAGCATGTAGTTGCTCATGTGTGCCAGGCTGCCCAGAGGCAAGGACAAGCTGTCCTCTGTGGGAAGTGTATAGTCTGTGTCCTCCGTATCCCCCCCCCAGCCACACTCCAGTGATGCCCACAAGCTGTGTTGGGTCCCACCCTGATGTGAACACGGTTCCTCCTCCTCATCCTCCAGAATTGTGTACCTGGCTTATGCTGGTGCAGGAACCCACCCTCCAAGCCACTTGTGAATGACTGGCCTCACTTCAGGGGATGTGCAGGACAGATGCCTCCGGTGGCGGTATTTTCCGAACAGGTCCTGCGTGTGGAGATTAGTGGTGCTGCTGGTACATGCGTCTGATCCCGTGTGTTGCTGGAATGCCTGTCTTTTATGTCTCTGATGAAGTAGGGCCCATTCCCTACGAAACGCGTAAGACAGGAAAATACCGCCACCGGAGGCATCTGTCCTGCACGTTCCCTGAAGTGAGGCTCCTGCTCGGGACGAGCTCACAGACACAAGCCATCCTCACCGGCAGCTGTATATTGAATCATCACAATCCATATCCATCCTTAACAATCCAAAGGTCCTTGCTGTTATTTCTCAATGCATCAGTCTGGTAATGCATTTCTGAATCTAGTGTGACCTGTATTTTTATATTTAACTTTTTCCAAAGTTATTTTAATATATTCAATAAACTGGCATTTTTTCTTATATGAAGTGATCCAGTTTTATGCTTCAGTTTTCCAGCGATATATTGTTTTCATTTTTATTGCCTAAAGCTAACAGTTCCTTGTACTGTATAGCTTATTATTTTTTACTTCTATCTT